CAGGATGAAACACGTTTCAAAAGTAAGACAACACATTAAAAAAAAAACAAATAACTAACTAAAAAAGGTAAATATAAAAAAACCTAAAAACCCGACTGCTTGAAATTAAAGTACTTCTAATAAAAACTAAAGAGAATAAAACTAGTTTTTACGGGTTAATGCACGAAACTTTATTTATTTATTGACGTTTCGTAGCCTTTACAGGCTACGTCGTCAGAATTGAAACGTCAATAAATAAATAAAGTTTCGTGCATTAACCCGTAAAAACTAGTTTTATTTAATGAGTGATGTACGTGAAAACCTAAGAAACAAATAAACTAAAGAGAAGTCCAGTTCTTATTCTGTAATTCTGTTAAGTAAGGAACAAAGCTAATTTAACAATCGGGACCCATTTAGTATTGGAAAAGTTTGTTCCATTCTATAAAATCTCATTCGTAAAATTGGTTTTCCATACAAACTTCCACCCCCCTTTTCACCCCTTTAAAGGATGACAATTAGATTAAAAACTGTTTTCAAACGTCTAAATCGATTCAGTGGTTAAAGCTTCAAGAGGATACAGACAGACAGGCAGATACACTTACGCATTTATAATATTAGTATGGATATGGATATAGAGACCTAATCCCCGGAGGCAAGGCTACATATGGGCCGTAACTTTCGCAAAACTGTGTGAAGTTAAATCAACTACCAGCTACAACAAAGTAGTACTTATATAAGTACATTAAGAACCCTAGCACAATATCAATGGCGACAATTGGTTATATTTCACCTTGTTCTCAAATTGCATCGGATTTCTTTGTTTGAAGGCTTGACTCCTACACTAAAAAATAATATTTTTAATAGCCTTATCGACAAATTAGCCTTGAACAGTATATTTTTATGTATATGGTTCCATCTGATCCCTTCAAAGAGTAGACTACTCAATTGTTCCTACAACTCTCATTAATCTGTTGATGAGAAATTCTTTTTTTTCGCAACATAACTCGATATCATAATCAGACTGTCACATTTAGAATGATCCCTACAGTATAGTGAAGGTCGTAAAAATAAATCTTTTGTGTGTCCAAAAGTCGTTGCTTCCGCCTATATATCTAATGCATGCACTTATATAGTTAACTAGCTTAAAAAATAAATTATGACAAAAGTAATTCCATAAGCTTGGATAGAATGGGAAATAAGCAGAAGCGGTCTACAGGAAGATGGATCTTTGGGAGCTTGTCCAGTTTGAGGACCTTTGAGGTTTTTTTATTAGTGATACAGCATAAACATTTTAATAATAATTATGATATACCAAAGTCACTCTCACAACTAAGAAGAAGCTAACGACATCTCTCAAGCCAAACTCCAACAAACTTTTTGGGCTGCAGAACGCGTCAAAGAAATGTAGCTTAGTTTCTTTACCTACTTAGTTCTCATGATTATACCAAAATTCAACAAAATTTCTTCACCCACCCAGTACTACTAGTAAGACCGCAGTCTACTCCTGCATAGTACACCGCGTTATCACATTGTTATTGTTGTAAAATTTTCAATATTTGTCGAAATGACAAAGTGTAAAAGGCAAAGTTTATGACGGTCTTTAAATATTAGAAGCGATAAAAGTATTTGTTTCGATAAAATATATTTTGGTAATACAAAGTGTGCATCCTTGAAATGGATATCAAATAATAATTTAGTTTTGATTCACTGTTTTAGCGATAACGGCTTACACATTATAAATAGATATGTGCTGTCGCGGAATTTTTTGTGGAATTATTTAAGAGATACATTTCCATCATATACACATATTATATTCATGTAAATTTTATTGTTTTTGAAGTGCAGGCTAAAATGGCTCGCAGTTGGGAGATTTTTTTTCCGTCTTGCGTGACACTTAACGTTATATTTTGGCCAATCTATATTATTGTTAGGTTTCATTAATATCCATTTAGTATTTTTTGGGAGAAAGAGTAACTAAGGTCCATACAAACATAAGATTGAAATAAAAAGCGCAAGTGGTTATTATACAACTTTAAATCGTTGAAGATCATAAACAGTCATATAAAATGAAATATGGTGTAAGGAACCTATACATGATTTTTGATTATCTAGACAATGATACTCCATTCGAGATTTTTCGTCAATTTTTTCTTTCTCACAATATAGCGCCTCATTGTCCGCATATTGAATTTCGATTACTATAATATCTTTAGTAGCACTCCTATTATTAAGACGAATCGATTGACGTATGAAGCATCAAAATCAGTGCAGGCGTTTGGTCTCTAATGTAAAATGTTAAACATTATACCTTGTATGCGCATCGCGCTTCGTGCTCTTGCATTGCGCAGTCGGGTAAAAAGAGGAAAATTTACGAACCATTTAGAGATTTGGGAAGGTTGGGGGTGGCCTTTAAAAGGCGGGGGAGTATATATCGTGATTTTCCGGAAAACTAGAATTCCTTTCGAAAAATTTCAATATGCTAAATTGTAGGTAATTAAAAGTTCTACAACTATTTATAATTATCTTCCACAAAAACACTGGTATGTTTTTGAAATTTGGTGAAACTTACCTTGCTAGATCCCGAACACGATTATTTTGATGAAAAATATTTATTTAAATTCCTCGTTTTGAAGTTATACCGAAAAACGTAATCTCCGAATGTAAAAAAAGAAGTTGATGCACTTTTTCATTTCCGCGCCCTTCCCGACCTCTAATCACCGTAAATTATTTTTCATGTTCTTTTAATGTTTTTTTGGATATAGCTTTCATCATGTTCGCCATTTACTGTTTTTTTCTTTTTTTTTTTCCCCAAAAATTATCGGCCCTGTTCTATATCTAGACCAAGTACAGAGGATTAAACACCCAAATGACTATTGCTAACCTCGTATTCTATTCAGCACACTGACGACACAGAACGAGCAAATGCATATAGCATTACCGAAGTCATTCAACCCACATTAGGTACGCGTGGTACGTACGAGGAAATGTGTTGTCGTCCCGTTTCCTACGTGGCTGCCGGCCGGGTCGCCTCGGTCACGTACCGCCGGCCCTTCATAATGTCCGAACACTAATACATCAGCCGTGACGGCTGGAACAACTGCGGATTTGCTTTCTTTTCTGTTTAGATTTCCTGGGATTATGCCCGAGACGGGTATTTACGTAATCCTGTGACATATATTATTATGAAAATCTTACATTTTATTTATAGCTGGCAACCTTGAGTAACTAGCTACTTTTTTGTCGGAACAGTGGCAAAGAAGCATACGGTCAGCCTGATGGTAAGTGGTTTATTAAATATCACGTGATTCCTTCAAAGATGGATAACCATCCAAGGTTACTATTAGACTGGAAAACCTACACTCTCATGAGCACCAGCAAAATATATTTCCATTTATATATTATTCTGCATAACGAAAAAGCGGTATATTAGAAAAATATCTATCCCAGGAATAGCAGTACTAAACATAGGCACGATTATTAGAAAGAACGACTGCGGATTTGTTAAGTTTCCCGGAAACCTGTACCTACTTAATATAAACTAGCAAACCAGTGAACCAAATGTTCACCAAAAAAAAAAAAAAAAACTATTTAATTAATTGAGAACTTCGGAGATTTTGTGTGGTTCCGTTTGCAATAGAAATCACGTGATTTCTCGAAAACCGGAAGTGCTACGTTACTCACATCCGGTTTGTAGTCTTATCAGACTATTCTTAACTTATAACTTAAACATTCTCTATATCTATCTCTTACGGTTTGGCCGCTGAAACAGCACCACGGACGGACGGACGGACTTGTCTATTAGATAAGAGATTCCTTGGATTGCTTTTCGAAATGAGTATTAATTGCTTGCTGTTCCAAGTTTTATTTTGGTGGGAAATCGCTTTCCACCAAAATATAATATCCCAAATTGGGACGTAGTGCAGATATAAGAGTAAAGTAGGTGTATATATATTTTTAAGATGCAAGTTCAACACATCACTCTACCTCACTTGATATTAAGTGCTACTGAAGTTTAGTTGCAAAGAAAGATGATGAGACATCGCTGTAATACAGTTATCATCAACCATCCTCACAGACTTCTGTTCCTCTATGTTGTGGAACTTTGGCTACTGTGGAATGGTGTTATTTATGTGCTGACTGCTGCAGACGAGCCCTCGCAAAATCGGAAAAGCCAGAATCTTCTGCTTGTTGTCCAAAAATTATAATGTCATATTGGCGATTCTGAGAGATTACTATTTATTGACAAAATATTTTGGATCATAATAAAAGAATTTACTCCCGAATGAAAAACACCAATTGTTTCCTTAATCATTTGATCATCATGCTAGATGGGGCATGACAGGAAACAGGAAACTGAAACAAACATACTCGTTCGTGTAACTCAATGTGTGTATGTGTGTATTCAAAAGGAAAGTTTAACGTTCGTTTTAGTTAGGTAGGAAAAGATGTTACAGTAATGGAACAGACCGCAGAAGAAATCGCGATGGGGAAAACAGGAAACAAAGAGACGCGTGGGGATTATAAAAACGCTCGTAAACGTTGCGGGCCCGCAGGAGAACGGGTCAGTTCACACCGACACGCGACGCGTCTCGCACTATTTAAGATAGCGATACTGATCAGTACCAAATGAGTTCTGCTGATCAGCTGCCGTTTTGAAAAAAGATAGGTAATTAATAAAAGTGAGGTAATGATTGCTCACAATTAACACTAGAAAATCAAGTACCTTCATTTCCTCTGGAGTTATTCTGGAATGACGGCTGGGTGCTGTACTAAGCACTCCGCAGGTGCTAATTTGACTGTCAGTAATAGTCTGTCGCTGTCATGTCACATAGCACACACTATTCACTCTTCACCATCAGCTCTTCGCGTGTTCGTACCAAGTTTACAAAGAAAAAAGAGTATTTCCTTCGGGGCTGTCCTAGTGACCAGAAAAATATGACGCGGATGTTGTAATCCATTTGGATTACAACTTCCGCGTCATGTGTTTTTTTATGCGAATATTTGTTCACGTAACAAAACACATGACGCGTAACAAGCTCATGATCAAGACCTGCGGAAATCTGCGCGCACGATCTAACAAAGCCATCATAGGTGTAGCCCTCCGTAAGCAGTTGGATGGACCTCTGAAGCGCGGAAGTACAGAAGTAAGAGAGCGCCGGGCAAAACAAAGCTGACAAGACGAACCGGCTGTCAGTCGATATTTAGAACTACTAGGGACATCTTTCTCTCTCTTATCAGCAACTAATAGAACACGGTAGCGGCGCGTAAACAGATACAATCGACTAAGATTTATTATCAAACTAAAATCAGTTTAGTACGATGTCGAAAAGTAAAACTTTATTTGCTGCAATAAATAAAGGTACACATTTCGTTGCGTGACGCTGGAGAAATATAGGAACGTGATATGTATGCGTAAATAAAAGGCTACCGTTTGGCTAGACGTTTATTAACGGACTGGTGGGGACGGCTTCGACACTCGGCTGACAGATAAATAATTATTCGATTACCTTCTAATATACTACAATATCCCCCCTTAAATTACAATAATTCACATTATTTCCCCCCCTACATTTACAAAATAATTATGTGATAAATTAAAATTACAATTTTCCCGATTAACTGCACGAGGGTGTAAGACCACAAAATACAAAGTTCTAATTATAATTATAACACAAGAAATTATAACTAAACAAACGAATTATAATTACAAAGATATACAATTTTTGTGCTATCATAAATGTTTTTTTTTTTTTTCAAAACCAAGATTTAATTATATTTAAGGCCGTATATAACTCTAACATTATACATTAGCCCTACTCAAACAGATACATATTTATTAATTATTACATATAGGTGCATTTAAATAAAATTTAATAAATAATTCTTTCATCTAGCCAATAACATTATTCTGATACAAAAAGAAATAAAAACAATATTAATTGATTATTAAGTTAAAATACATCACTATTTATATTATTATTTCATGCTAATTAAGTACTAAGCTAAGTAAGTATTGAATTTAAATAACACATAAAAAAAAAATACCAAATTTAACACAAACATTACTTAAATATTTAAATAAACAAAAATGACACCTATTGATCTTTAGGTAATTTTAAACGGCATTTACGAATAGGGCGAGGCGCTCGCGCGCCGGTGGGCGGTAGTACAGGTTTATCAGGTGAGGAGGTTACAACGAGAGGATCACGGGTGGACAGTGGCTGCGAGGCGGCATCTGTTACCATAGTATGTTCCTCGTGGTCCGCGTCAGTTACGACATCAGCCGGTGTTACGTCCGGTAGACTGTCTTGGTTCAGCGGTTGGTCACTTGTGCTGGGGATGGCGGATGGCGATTCATGTGACAGACCTAAAATGGACCCTCTGGATTTGCGTTTTAACTGGTCTATGTGTCTATGACAATTTCGCCCTACCTCGTCTATGATTTTATAGTCGGATGACCCCAAACACTCACTAACTCGTCCGGAGACCCAACGCTGTGGCCCTTGATATTGGCGTAGCCACACTTCCTCTCCCGGGTGTAAGCTCTTGGTATTACTACTACTAACTTTATCTAATATAATTTTTTGTTTAGGATCCGGCCTCAGAATATCCAATTTCGTTCGCAAAGATCTACCCAACATCAAACTTGCAGGAGATTCGCCTAACGTACAATGTGGCGTATTTCGATAATATAATAAGAACTTATCCAAATAAAGATTAACATCGGTTTTTAACCTAATTGCCTTTTTAATTGCTTTTTTTACAGTACGCACTGCATTTTCCGCCGCCCCGTTCGATGCGGGGTGATATGGTGCGGTAAATATGTGAGTTATACCTCGATTTGACAAAAAAATATGTAATTCCTTACTAGTGAAAGGTGGGCCATTATCAGATACAATTTGTTTTGGCAACCCCCATCTCGCAAATAACTCTGATAACCTACTGATAGTATGTGTGGCGGACGTACTCGGTACTTGAAATACTTCCAACCACTTAGTTCTGGCGTCGATAACTACCAAATATATTTTATTGAAAATAGGACCCAAGAAATCAATATGCAGTCGCGACCACGGACGTGAGGGCCAAGGCCAGGGTTTAGGGGCCTGCCGCGGCGGAGCGTCTGCTTCCGCAGCGCATGTAACACATGAGCGGCACATATTTTCCACGGCCTCGTCAATACCGGCCCACCATACATAGCTGCGTGCAATGGCTTTTGTTTTAACTATACCCATGTGGGGTTCGTGTAGTTCTAATAAAACCTTAGTTTTGCAAGCATCAGGAATAACTACTCTGTGTCCCCACATAACACAGCTCAATTCTTCATATAATTCCTTTTTCCTATTGAAGAATGGTTGCAGAGCTTTTATCTCATTTTCAATGGGCCACCCATCTCTAATGTAATTAAGAATTCTACCTAGAATCGGATCTTTTAGTGTATGTTTCCTAATCTCATTATAATCCAATAACATTTCATTTTCGGCAAAATGTAAATAGGTCTGTTCGGTCGTCAACGAAAGCTTCTTCGGACTATTATCAATCGGAAGTGGCAGTCGTGACAACCCGTCCGCTGCATTTTGCTTCGTGTTAATATATGTAATATCATACGTATATGCTGATAATATGATAGCCCAACGCTGCATCCTACTAGCGGCCATAGTCGGTATTCCTTGTTTCGAGCCAAAAATACTAACTAACGGCTTATGATCCGTTCGTAACGTAAATCTACGGCCGTACAAATATTGATGCAATTTCCTAAAACAAAATACTATGGCTAGCGCCTCGCGATCTATCTGCGAATAGTGTTTTTCTGCGTCGGTGAGTGCGCGCGACACAAACACGACCGGCCGCTCGCCGCCGGCGCCGGGCTGTGTCAGCGTGCCGCCGATGCCGCGCGCGCTCGCGTCACATGTTAAGAACAATGGTTTCTTAGGGTCATAGTGAGCGAGTACCTGCGCGCTTATCAGTATAGACTTAATTTCTTTATAAGCGTTTTCACAGCTCGGTGACCAGTTCCATTTAACTTTCTTTTTTAATAATTCATACAAAGGTGCTAAAAGAGAACTAATGTTTTTAACAAATTTAGCATAAAAATTTACTAATCCTAAAAATGATCTCAACTCGGGAACATCTTTCGGACGCGGCATTTTCGCAATCGCCCGAGTTTTATCCGGATCAGTTTTTATTCCATCTTTAGAAATAATGAATCCTAGGTATTTTACTTCATCGACCATAAAAACGCATTTGTTTTTCTTTAACTTCATACCGTATTGACGCAAACGTTCGAAAACCCTACCTAATACCTGCAAATGCAATTCTTTTGTAGGGGTTCCTAAAATTACGTCATCTAAAAATACTTCTACATGAGGTATGTCACTCAAAATACTCGCCATAATGCGCTGAAAGATACCGGGACTGGAGGATAAACCGTAAACGAGACGATTATATTTGAACAAACCCCTATGTGTATTGATTACGGTCAAATATTTAGAATCATCCAGCTCTACTTGGTTATACGCCTGGGATAAATCAATTTTTGAAAATATCTTAGCCCCATTTAGCCCAACTAATAAATCGTCTATTCTAGGGAGAGGGTACCGATCGACGAGTAAAACAGGGTTCAAGGTCACCTTGTAATCCGCGCAAATCCTTAGGCCGCCATCCGCCTTACGTACCGGCACAAGTGGAGTCGCCCAGTCCGAGTAGTCTACGGGTTCAATGATGCCGTCCCGCAGCATGGCGTCCAGCTCCGCGTCCAGGCGCACGCGCAGCGCGTACGGCACGGGCCGCGCGCGGTGAAACACCGGCACCGCCCCCGGGCGCACGCGCAGCGTCGCCTTGCCACCCGTAAAGCGCCCCAGGCCACCGGAAAACAATTCATCGTGGCTGTGGATCAATGATGTTAAACTGTCACAATCGGATTTTACATGCTTGTCCAACTTACACACATAATTTACAAATTTTGGTATCTGAATCTTTAATTCGGTCAGCCACTGCCGACCTAAAAGGGAAGTGGCCCCCCCTTCAATAACGAATAATTCGAGAGATTTATTTATTTCCTCATATTTAACTGTAGGTTTGATTACCCCGACAGGCCTTATTTTAGTGCCATCATATAACTTTAATGATAAACTAGGATTCTCCATTGGTCTGTGGCTAAAATATTTATCATAAGTTAATTTGTTAATACAGGACACCGCCGAGCCCGTATCTACTTCCATTAATAATTTGAAATTATCTATAAATACAGGTAAACTCACCGGCTTATAGCCGTTTAAACTTAATTGATGCAGTTCCTCTTCAGCCTCATAATCCGACCCCGGGTCCTCCTCGGATACGCAATCATCCACATGCCCGGCCGGTTGCTCCGTTGAAGGCTCCTCCGTCACGTGATGCAGGCGCCGCGTGTTGATCTTGTCATAAAAACGTCCCGGACACACCCGCCTTAAGTGTCCACGTTGTTTACATTTTCCGCAGACGAAACGTTTATAACGACATTCTTCCCACGGATGATCAACAGACCCGCACACTTTACAACGTTCATAAATCTTATGAGAACGACTGATATTATCCCGCGCAACTCCTCGGCGTGGTGAGCGTGAGTCATACCGCTCCTTTCGAACCCGCCGATCGCCCGAACCAGCGCGGCCACCGCCGCCGTCTCGACCACGTGGGCTGAATCTCAACGCGTGTACTGCCATCGCGCCAGCCTCGCTCCCGGACAAATTCCCTGCTCCGAGCTGCTCCACCGCTGCGGCGTTCCGCTCCGCGGCCTCCATCGCGCAGGCTAGTCTAACTGCGTTAGCGTAGTCTAAATTATCTTCGGCGAATAATCTCTGCCTTATTACGTCGCTAGCCAAACCGCACACCAACTGGTCTCTCAAATTTTCCTCCAAAGTAGCTCCAAAATTACAAAATTTTGTTAATCTTTTCAACTCGGAGATGTATTGCAAAATAGTTTCTGTCTTAAATTGCCTTCGCTGCCTATAATAATATCTTTCTGCTACTACCGACCTTTTTGGTTGCAAATGTTCCAGAAAAGTTTTCACGATGTACTCATAGGTTTTATCAGACGGCTTATAAGGACTTATTAAATTGCTTAATAATTCATAAGCCTCATCGCCCATAACGGCTATCAAAGTTGGTA